GAAGGAGTCGATAAACAGAAAAAATGATTGAGAACCTAAAAATATTCATGGACATGATAAAGGCCAGAGGTAAGGGAAAGACGAACAGGCCTTTAGAACTCAAGAACACACAACTCAAGAAGGTTGTGATCCAAATATGACACAATTTTAAGGAGAGTCCCATCCCTACTCTACTTAGTACCATCTCTACTCTAAGTACCTTCCTTCTTCTACATGTCTATTTCCTGGAGAAATGAACCAAAAGAAGTCCACTTAAAGAGCACCAGACATGGCCCTGGCCGGCTTGCTCAGTGGTTAGAGCATCGGCCTGTGGACCAGAGAGTCCCAGGTTCAGTTTCCGCTAGGGGCATGTACCCAAAAAAAAAAGACCACCAGACATAAAGGATCCCTTTGATGAGATACTAGAATGATGGCAGGGGAATCAGGTAAAATATACAAAATGAACAGTAGGACCTGCCTGCCACTACCTCCCAGTTCTAGCATGCCAGCAGCCAGGCTTACGACCCTGAACCCACCCCAACACAGTCCCAGCCAAGAGCCAGGAGCAGCCTTCTCTTGAGGAACTGAAGCACCTCAGAACGTAAGACCCCAGATTCTGACACTGAACACCCCACTGAAAATGCCACCTGCCCCCCCCCTCTAATTATCCGACAGTGTGATCCACCCAATGACAAGTCCTACCCTCAGACACAGAGCACCTACTCAGCTTTTTGAATTTGCCTTCTTCAACGCTAACAAGAGAACTAAGGATCACCAGCGATTTGAGAGAAGCTTTCAACACAATGGAGATAGCAAAATAAAGAGAAAGTAGGCATATGTACTACAAAATGAGGGAGTTCTAACAAAACAAGGAAGTAAATATGAAAAGAGGTGTCTACAGAGTCCAGAAAACAAAAGGTCAGTATGGAGAGAGGCTGATGAGATTCCCAGGGTGACAGCTGGGCAGCAGGCCCAGGGAACACTGTGTCCGGAACACAGCGGTGGACGAGGGCTCCCATACAGATGATCCGTGGGGTGGGAAATGGAGCCATGAGGTCATCAGACAGGTGAAAACTCACACTGAGATATTTTGAACGCTTAGAGCATGTGGGGAGCTGGAGGCAGGTTCAACGAAAATAAAGGAAATGAAACAAAGGCAATTATTAATTCTGGGAAAATCAATGTTGCACAAAACAGGAAATCTAATCATGATGCTCTACTTGTGCTCAGCAGCTAACAATATTTTCATAACCATGACATGAAAATATCAACAAAGGATTTGACCACAAACCGCAAAGGGAAAGCAGAACTCCTCATTTACCAAGACAGCAAGTCATAAATAATGTCTCAATTTATATATTATGCCTTAAAAATAGAGAGGTAAACACCAGAAGAAATACCTAAAGAAGAATTTTTAAATTATTGCCCCTTGGAAGTAGGGTTATTCAGGAGACTGCTGGTGTTTGTTACTTTTTAATTCTATTTGTGTTTTCCAAATGTAATAAAAATAATTTGCTAGAAATAGCAATTATTCTTAATTTATGAGTTATGACCAATAACAATAGCTAACTTTCAGTGAGCACTTACTGTGTGCCAAGTATTGAGCCAAGAACTTTACAGGTGTTACTCACGTAATCCTTGCCCACAGCCCTCTAAGGTCATTACTATTGCTATAGGCTGAACATTTGGGTCCCTGCAAAATTCACATATTGAAGCCTAACCCTTAATGCGATGTTATTAGGCAGTGGGGCCTTTTGTAGGTGATTAGGTCGTGAAGCCCTCAGGAATGGAATTACAGATGGCACCCGACTTACGATGGTTTGACTTATGATTTTTTTGACTTGATGATGCTACGAAAGCAATATGTATAATAAATTACATGAGATGACACTTTATTGTAAAATAAGCTTTGTGTTAATGGTTTTGCCCAACTCTAGGCCAATGTAAGTGTTCTGAGCACTTTTAAGGTAGACTAAGCTAAGCTATGATGTTTGGTAGGTTAATCACATTAAATGCATTTTTGACTTACGATATTTTCAACTTATGAGAGGTTTATCCGGGTGTAACCCCATCGCGTACGTCAAGGAGTGTCCAGTGCCCTTACGAAGGGGACCCTAGAGAGATGCCCCACCCCGGCCACCAGGGGAGGACAGGGAAGGACAGCCGCGTGAACCGGGAAGTGGGCGCTCACAAGATACCACACCCGCTAGGGCCCCGATCTTGGACTTCCAGCCTCCAGACTGTGAGAAATACATTTCTCTCTTTCCAAGCTGGTCTATGGTGTTTTTGTGACAGCAGCCCAAACGGACTAAGGTTCTATTGTCATCCTCCCATTTTGCATGATGAGACTGAGGCTTATAGAGTTAAGTGACTGGTCAAGCAAAGTCAAGACTCAAATCCAGACTTGACTCAGGAAACTGAGCCCTTATGCCAGACTGTCCCACATGTTTAAAGATTTCATTTCCTATGCCATTTTAATAGGCACCGCCAAGGGCCACACAGCTGGTACGTGTGTGGCACACACTCAGAACTCTCAGGACAAATGGCTGTATTCTAAGCAAGCTCTGATGGGCAGTTTCTTTTCTGTTTTCTCTAACATTCTAAATTGGATAAATAAAATTGAAGCTCTTCATATTCAAATTCAAGTGGAGATTTTATTACATAAAGCTCCACCGAGAATCAAAGAAAAGCAGAGCATTTATTGGTACCAAGCACCAAAAACTAGGCACTCAAGTTCTGTCCAGTGAGCAGATCCTAACAAATCTCGATGTACTCAAGAAATAAAAGTTAAGGTTTTCACAGCTCTCAGAGAAGTTTTCCACCTTCTCCTGGCAAGGCTGTAGAAAATCAGTGCTCATAGCCATTGCCGGTGAGGGTGCGAACCGGCACAACACCAGGGAGGTGACTTGGCTGCATGAATTGCAACCTGCTTCAGGGATTTCATCCGGCTAATTCACAGCACACAAGAGAAGTGATACGTGCATGAGGCTATTTATTGCTGCACTGTTCTAATAGTGAAAGTTCAGAAATAACCCAAATGCCCATCAAATAGCTACTGGCTAAGTTAGAACATAGAATTAAACGGAATATTATACCGTGGTTAAGAGTACTGACTAAGGGCACGGGCTCTGGAAAGTGCCTGGGGTTAAGACCTGGGTCACACAGCATAACCATCCTGAGTCGCAAAATCCTTCTGTGAAATTTTTAGAAATTTTGTCAACTGTTTATTTAGCACAGCTGTGATTAAAAATTAAGTTACATAAACCTACAGTTAAATAAGTGATATTAAAAACAAAAATAAAAACTCAAACTCATCACCTCCTACTTATTTTACTACATGTGACTGTGGTGTGTGCTCCGGACCCGGCTCTGTAAGTCTGTCACATCTGTATGATGGATGTTACATGATGGTGTATGACTGGCATCTCCTCTGAACTCGGTGTTCAGGGTCTTCGTGTTGGTCACTTGAGTCAGCCACAGTGGGAATAACTACACCTCTAAAATTGGCAAATGCTACAGATCGGTGGTTTCTTTTTTGAGAGATATTTGTTACATATTTATCAGCACATCTGCGCTTCCCCACACACACACACACACACGTGATCTGAACCTCAGTTTTGCCATCTGTAAAATGAGGAGAATAATAGCACCGACCTGATCAGGTTGCTATGAGGATTCATGAGTTGCAAATGTGAAGCACTTAGAAGACGTGCTTGGCAAGCAGCAGGGTCAACATAAGGGTTAGCCATGTTCCAAATGTTATCACCGGGACAGAGGTCTCCAAGCTGTACCTTGACATTTAAAAGAAAAGCTCAGCCCGGCCGATGTGGCTCAGTGGATGGAGGATAGTCCTATGGACTGAGAGGTCCTGTTTGATTCCCGATCAGGGCACATGCGTGGGTTGCGGGCTCGATCCCCAGTAGGGGGCGTGCAGGAGGCAGCTAATGGATGTTTCTCACATCGATGTTTCTCTCTCTCCCTTCCTCTTTCTCTAAAAAAATCAATAAAAACACATTTTAAAAGAAAAGCTCAGTAAAGTGTGCATAGAATGCTATCTTTTGAATATAAAACAGGGAAAATTGAAAATACATATTGATGGTTTCTTATCTAAAGAAGCCTTGGGCCCTGGCTGGTTAGAGTGTTGGCCCGAGGAGCAAAGAGTCACAGGTTTGATTTTGGCCAAGAGCACATACCTCGGTTGCGGTTCATCCCCAGCCCTGGCCGGAGTCATCCAGGAGGCAGCCAATCACAGCCAATCACAGCCAATCAATGTGTCTCTCTTACATTGATGCCCCCCCCACACACACACACACTCTAGCTGAAGATATTTGGAGAAATATTCTCGGGTGAGGATTAAAAAAAAAAAATTAAAGAAGCCTTGGAAGGATACACAAAAAATAAATTAACGTCATCACCTGGTGTGTCCGTCATCACCTGGTGTGTCTTTGGTTGGAGAAATCGAAGGGGGATGTGGGTAAGAGCTAGACTCTTCACTGTCCACTGTATTGTCAACTTTGTTTTTAACCTATGTCAATGTAGCATCTATTCAATCATCACATTAAAAAAAGAAAAGAAAAGAACAGTTTCATTAACTCAACAAGCATTTCCTCTTCATTTGCTGTCATCAACATTCTATGGGATATGCATGGCCCATGGATACGGACAACAGTGTGGTGAAGGCCAGAGGTGGAGGTCAGGGGCGGAGTGGACAGGGGCAAATGGGGGGAAATGGGGACATTTGTAATAGGGTCAACAATTAAAATAAAACAAACCTGAAATACCAAGACAAATTTCATCCATAAACAACAGCTCCTAGGGGAAAGAAACTCAATGGGAGACACTGTGTGAGGGTCAAAAGGGACACAGATGATGGAGCAACATGTCCTCTGCCCTCGGAGGGAGCGTGCCCTACTTGGAAAGAGGAAGCACACAGAGACTGGCTTGAAGGGGAGCGCACAGGCTGCCCCTGGACTGAACACTTGACCCATGATGACATGGAACGGCTCTTCCGAGATACTTACCCAGTTGTGTAAGGGATGTTTATGCCTCCTAGATTAATACTGTCACATCCCACAATGAACAGGGTTGAAAAACACAGTAAAGACACCCCACTGCAGATCATTGCTAGTTTTGCAGATTCTCTTGCACCAAGTTTCAATTTTTTTATAATGTAGCCTCCCAGGACAATGCCAACACCAGCGCTGGGGACAATAATAACACCTGGAGAGAAGGGAAGGACAGGATTAACTTGAAGTAATGTATACGATTGTGTGTTTTCTTTTTTTCTCTTTATTTTATTTTTTTCCATCTCCATTTATCACCCCTGTACCCTCTTCCACCTCCACCCACCCTCTACTCCCCGCTATCTGTTTCCTAATTGTTGTTTCCACATATTAGTATTAAGGTAAAAAACAAAAATACTGTATTCAAATTTGGCAGTTATAAAAATAGTCAGGATACAGCATAGAGAATATAGTCAATGATATTGTGATAACTATGTATGGTGTCAGGTAGGTACTAGACTTATTGGGTGATCACTTCGTAAGCTATATAAATGTCTAATCACTATGTTGTGCACCTGAAACTTATATAATATTGTATGTCAACTGTAATTGAAAACACTTTTAATTATTTAAAAATAAAAAATTATTTTTAAAAAACTGTAATTAATAAATCTTCATTGTGTGTGATTTTATAGTATCATTTATTTTCAACACATACAACTAACAAAAAGATTCATTTCCAGAAAATAAAAAAACTGTTATAAAGCAATAAAATAAAAACAAGCAACCCATTAGAAAAGTAAGAAAAACTTGAATGGGCCCTTCACTAAAGAGGAAATCCAGCTAACCAATAAACACGAAGGTGCTCGGCCTCTTTAGTAAGAGGGAAATACAAATTTAAACCACAGTGAAACACTACTCCACCAATCGTGTTGGTAACATGTAAAAGTGACAGTACCACAAGCTGGCAAAGACATGGAGCGACGGGCACTGTGGTGGGATGCAAACTGCGACACCAGCCATGAAAACAGTGTGGTGTTTATCTGGTGGAGCTGAGAATGTGCACACCCTGTGACAGGCAACCCCATTCCTGGGTCTACACCCTGAAGAATCTGGTGCACCTGGGACCAAAAGAAGTATACAAGATGTCTGAAGAAACGTAATAGTTAAAAACTGGAAATGACCCAAATGTCCAGTAATAGGTACAGAACATGTAGTGAATGCACACAATGGAATGCCACACCACAGCAATAAACGTCAGAGACCTAATTACACATAACTATGTGCATGGATCATACAAACACAATGTTGAATGAAAGAAGCAAAACAGAACATATATGTGATGGCATTTGTATCGAGTTCAACAACAGGTAAAATGAAATGATATTGTTTAGAAAGGCATATACAGGTAGTACAGTTATGAAGAAATTGCCATAAAAGCCAAGAAAGTAGGGGAATGGGTGAGACCCAAAGAGGGCACAGAGGGCTCCAGGAGGACTCAAAATACTCCATCCCGTGACCTGGCACATATCATGGTACACACGTGTTCACTTCATAATTATTAATTATCTCTGAACCTTGTTTAATGCACTTCTTAGTGCATTATATTTCACAGTGAAAATATTTTTAAATAGTCACAGTGCCTGCTCCAAGAATCTTACAATGTAAAAGAGAACCAAACAACAACAAAAAAATCCAGAACACAATAAAGGAATTATAGAAAGGGCGGGGAGAACACAGCAAAGGAAGCATCGGAGTTTTCCCTGGGAGAAATCAGGGAGGGCTTCCCAGAAGTGGCAGTATTTGAGCTGACATTTGACAGACGAGACAGAATCTTCGCAATTTGAAAGATAAGACAGAATCTGTCCAATGCACCAGCACAGAGAGGACATCCTGCACAAACAAACATGGGCAGAGGCATGAGCTAGAATTGAGCGTTCAGAGCAGTCCAACAAGCTGGGAATGTAGAATGAACGCAAACTGCCGGAAAGTGGTGGGACAGGGGAGGAGAGGTAAGAAAGAGCAGAACCATGAGAGATCGTAACAGGAGGTCAGGCTGCCTCTCTGGGCAACGAGACACCACGGAAGAATTTTGAGCCGAGGTCTGGCAGGCTGGGAGGCGTGTGTTACAAAGACCATCGCTGGCCCTGAGGTGGAAGATGGCTTAGATGGACTCAAAAGAGAAGTGGCCAGGAGGGTAAGTGCAAAGGTCCAGGAGAGCCGTGGGCAGCCTCTGCACAGATGGCACGATAAAGTAGCGGAGGAGGGCAGGGACGGAGAAAGGACTACTGCACAACCTGTGCGACAAGCAGCCAGAAACGCCTCCCACAGGTGCACCCGGGTCGCGAGCGCAGGAAGAGCTGGGCTGGGGCTTGTACAACCTGCAGCGGAATTCATGCACCGAACAAAGAGAAGTGGGAAGGGCCGATGCCAGAGACCTGGAGAGCACCAGTGTCGATGGGGATCATAAAAAGATGAGCCCACAGAGGAAACTGAAAATACGCAGCTTCAGAGGGGAGAGGAAATCTAGGAAAGATGAATGTCTTAAGCCTGGGCTTCGGATTCACAAAGACTGGACTCGAAAGCCTCGCTCCGTCTTCTGTAGCCGAGTGTTCACACATCAGCACGAGCTTCCCCACGCCCTGAGCCAGAGTTCTCCACTTTCTCACGGAGATCTCCCTTTCGTGTTGAAACGAAGATTACTGACACTATGTAGCCACAGTACACTATATTGCACACAATATAAATTGTAGTTATGTACTACCATTACAGTGGTGCCATAACCACCAAGGAAAGAGTTTTAAGGAGAAAAGGAAGAGAAGTCCGGTGGGCTAAAGGCGGAATGAGACGACCACATCGCTGGAGATCTCCCCCAGAGCAGTGTTCAGGGCGCCGTGGAGGCAGAAGCCCGGCTGCAGTGGGCTGAGCAGCAGCCACGAGAATTTGGAGCCTGGAATCAGCACCGCCTTTGGCTAGAGGAAGAATGAGGGCTCTGGGTCCACAGAGTCGGGGTTCTCAGGGTCTTGTTTGGTGCTCAGACACGGAGAGGGCTGAAGCACATTTATACAGAGTACTGACAAAAATTGACTAAAAAGGAGTAGGAGGCAGGATGTAGAGGGGAGAAGTTACTTCGTGACAATACAAGATTCTTTTTTCTTTTTAATGAAGAGGTTGAATATTTTACTATTAAACAGTCTTGTTTTCCTGCAAGGCTGCTACTTCACTGTATAAAAATAGCACCAGCAAACTCGGTGTATTGCTAAATTAAGAGGGTATTGTTCGTCATCCAACGTTGTGACAACGAACAAAAACTTTTCTCCTCTGACGGTTCTTTCCAATGGAAAGATCATTAAGTATTTTGACCCAAATCCAAAGACTGATGTAAGCAAGTTACGACATTATATAAGCTATAAGATAGCAATGTTATCCCTGACATACATACTTTTTATAACCAGATTTTACCACGGATGACAGGGTGTTCTGAAAAAGATGCATATTGTGTTTATCTGTAATCATTAAACAGCTAAGGGGTATTTTCTTCCCACAGAATTGTTGCAGTTTCTTTTTCCACTGGCGTTACTGAAAGGTGCTATTTTAAATCTTCTATCCACCACGGATTTAAGACAACCATGCTAGATTAAGTCGTTTCATAGAACTTTATTAAGGCAGGGTCCATTTTCACTCCTCACTCCATTTTATGTATTTCCCCTGCTTCTTCACTCATTAGTTCATCTAGTTACTCAGCGTCATCTGGATCAGCCAACGGTCTTCATGACCAGATTTGTTGTCAAGTCCTGGATTTTCTGCAAAAGCTTCATTGATTTCAGTTACTTCTCCCGACAGAGGAGAATCGAGTGCACAAACAGCTTTCACACCTTCCAAAGCGCCAAATTCATCTTGTGTGTTCAATTTTGTCCTAATTTCAGGCAGGTTACAGTCAACGACCTCTCCCAAAGCTTCCTGCGCAAAACTGATGATTCCCACTGTTCCAACACCGTTTCTGCTGTTGTCCATTCGTGTTTCTCTGTGGATTCACCCAAGGAGAGCAGGTAGGGGCAGCATCTGGACGGCGCTCGCCCTCGGGCCCAGGGCCGAGCAGGCTGCAGATCCCAGCCAGCCTGCTCGCTCCGCACAGCGGGGAGCGCCCTTTTCGTAGGAGGGCTGGGGTCCTCCACAACCCCTGGGCCACCCCCCAAAACCCTTGAGAAGTCGGGAGAATGTGGAATTACTGACACGACGATCAGATTAGCCCTGGACGAGGGAAGATCTCTTCCTCTGTGCTGGGAACAAGATGGGGAAGGAGTGGGCAGTAGATTTTCTGTTTCATTATTTTCCCATTATTTCGGAAACATAGTATAACACCTGTTGCAGCAGAACATTTGAAAAGCACAGAAAAGTATGAAGGAACAAAAATTCACTGCTTACATATTTCCCCGTTTCTTTCCCTCTGCCTTTTTTCTTTACGAACTGGTAACATTGGAATGCAGACTGGTGCAGCAACTATGGAAAACAGTATGGTGTTTTCTCAAAAAATTAAAAATTGAACTGCCATTTGACCCAGTGATCCCACTTCTAGGAATATATCCTAGGAAGCCTGAAACACCAATCAGAAAGAATATATGCACCCCTATGTTCATAGCAGCACTATTTACAATAGCTAAGATCTGGAAACAGCCCAAGTGTCCATCAATAGATGAATGGATACAAAGCTGTGATACATATACACAATGGAGTATTATGCAGCTGTAAGAAAGGAAGATCTCTTATCCTTGGAGACAACATGGAGGGATCTCGAGAGTATCATGTTAAGTGAAACAAGCCAATCAGAGAAAGACAAATACCACATGATCTCACTTATTTGTGGAATATAATGAACAAGGTGGGCTGATGAACAAAATAGACCCAGAGACATAGAAAGGAGTATGGTTCAGACTGACAAACTTCAGAGTAGGGGGGTAGGGGGGATGGATGAGATGAACCAAACAACTTAAGTACATGTATGCGTAACCAATGGACATAGACAACAATGCTAGGGGGGTAGGGGGATGGGGAGGAGGGTGTCTGGGGGGGGGGGGTGGAGAACCATCTGTAACAAAAATAATAAAAATCGGGAAAAAAAGAATTGGTAATATGCCGCGGATTTGGATTTTTATAGCTTTGGTTTTTCATTTGGTTGTGTTTTTTGTTTTGTTTTGTTTTCCTGTATAACTAAAAATA